CCGAGATAGCCAGCCGACGGCGACGACGCGTGGATACTTACCGCGAGGATGCTCTCCCGAGAACGGACCTCTCGCATCTTGCGGTCGGTCGAGCTCCTAAAGCTAGAGCGGCGCGGCGACGTGCCTCTCGCGTTGCGACGGAGACACGCTCGCGGTAGCTATCATGGCTGGGTAGTATCCGAACGAGAAGGCTCGGAAGAATCGCCACGGCACGGCAGGCACGATACAGTACAGCCACAGCACGACACAGTGGACACAATGCGACGCGACGCGATCCACGGCACACACTTTCCCTCTACCGTGTGCTCGCACCTCGCACGGTGTGCGCGTACGCACAACTCTGAACCCAGCACAACGTGAACGTGAAACGTTGCTGAACGTTGCGTTCTCAACGTTTCGGTGCCCACTCTCGTTACTTGTACGGTGCGTTCTCGCAACTCAACGACTACGAACGACGGCGACGGAGCCGTCGCGTCGGTCCGCGTCTCCGGACTCCGGCGACGCCGCTAGTCTCAATTCCGTTCTCCGCTTCCTCGAGTAAAAGACGAAGAAAATAGAGGGAAATAAGAAGAGAGAGAGAGAGAGAGAGAGAGAGAGACAGAGGTCGGATATCAATCGCGGCCGCGAAGCGAATTCATGTTTTGGAATGTCGTCGGCCGTCGCAACGTCGTACCTAATGTCGGAGCCCCGCGGAACTGCCCGCAAGTCAGGCGTCGCGATTCTTGACGATTTCTTTTTTTTTTTTCTTTTTCTTTTATTCTCGCGTCGCGACGCCGAATCCGATCTCGCGAAACCGTTCCGTATGAAACGATCACGGATTCGGAGATTCCGCAAGGCGGAATCAATTCTCGAAATTGCTCCAAATCGCCCAACAATCTAGGGATTTGAGCGACACGTTCACCTGGGGATGTTTTACTCGTCCGCTGTCGGGACACAGCGGCGCCCTGCGTCTCCATGACAACCTACCGCCGCGTATCCTGACATTCTTGTGGCAAGCATTCGCATTCTTCGCATTTCTCTCTCTCTCTCTCTCTCTCTCTCTCTCTCTCTCGTACTTTTTCATAACCTATAAGCGACTAGCGTGGATTAGTGTGATTATATTATTTCATAATATTATTATTCAAATTAAAATTGCACAATCAGTCTGGATTTCGGATATTTGGTCGTATTGACTTCCAAAAGATTTACTTTAGGGAGGCATAAAAATATAAAAAAATAGAAATAGATTAACGTAAACTCGAGAGGCCAGCGGATAATTTTTCATTTGTCCATTGTCTTGAAAAACTCCATGAAATACTTCTTTCCCCATAATGCCTATTTTTACGAATATAGATCAACTTTAATCTCGGTTTAATATTTTATCTTTTTTGTTGTTAGTTCTAAGAATAAAAAGTAAGTTAAACCGAGATTAAGAATTAAAATTACTACAAAAATGTTTAAGAATTATAACTTTTTATCTTAAATTGTATTACAATAACAACAAATGCGTGGTCTGTTCTTTTCAGTTAAAATTCTTGCACTATTTATCTTCTCTCTTTCTCTTATCATGACAACAAAAAGAGAAAAAGGTTGAACGGTGTAAGTAGTTTAACTGAAAAGAACAGACCTCCATTGCAGCTGTAATATTTCTTTCCTTTTAAGGGATACAGCCGACACGTCATAGCCATGTGCTTCCTTCCTTACAATCATAACATTCAGTGAATAATACAAATAAAGATAGAACCATACTCTAGCTTATGTTGGCTGTCGTCTAAAAAAAAAGCAGCCTCGTTCTATGCACTGGCTGTTTTAAAATATTCATTGCTATTTCATGCTACAAACCCCTGTAACGCACGTAACAAACTATAGATTTTCAGTTTCTAATAGTTTTAATACGTCTAGACGCAAGAATTCTCTCTCTTTCTCTTTCTCTATCTTGTTCAAGAAGCATAAAAATAAAAGTCGCGAGATGCGACGGAAATTCTTCTTTTCAGGGATTCCTGACAGGCCCAGCGATTTCTCGAGCCGTACCTGCTCGTTAAATGACAACGTGAACGACAAGCCGACGATATCAGTTTCTTTCTATAGAGATTCATATACATATATTTATAACGCCTCGCGAGACGCTCAATCGCCAGTATCGCCCGTTGCGTACGGCTGGTTGGCGATCGTGGTGGCTGTATCTGTTTTATCGCCCGGGACAAAAGCACATGGCCACAGTGAAAGAATTTTTCGCCCGGACGATGACCACGACAGACAGCGTTGCCGGGCTGATCGACATGGAAGTATCCCACGTGCCGATGGAAAACTGCCGCGGAAGCGTCAAGGAGGGCGCGATTGATTTCGTGGCCGGTTCACTCGGTAATTGTCTCGCCGCGCGTTTTCTATTTAATCTATAATCTATATTTTTCCGTTTATATACTCACCAATCCAGTTAGGCTGAAATCGTTCTTTCCATATTTTAAACCAAAGTTCGATTGTTCTATTATTTATGTTAATGAATTGATACAGGCTGACAAGTCGATTATCCGTCAAAATAATCGGAAATTGAAAAAATTTACTCGAACACGCACGGAAGTTGCATCATATTCTATTGAGATGATTTTTCCTCTCGCAGCGAAACATTTCTAATTCCTGTTTTTACCATTTTGTAGTTTAATTTTAATTTTCGTGTAACTGTAAGTCTTCATCTTTTTAATCTTTTATGTCATGTATGAAATAATTTATATATGTATTTATAATAAATTGAATCGTAATCTATAAAATCAACTTTCAATGCTCGTTAGAGACCACGATACTGATTATATTTTGTGTTGCCATTCCGCGAGCTAAATTGTTTAGCTTCATCTTTTTCTAGTTCTAAGAATTAGAAAAAGATAAAGGATAAAGCCTGTGGCACACGATACGTACATAATTTTTCTGCTGAATTGCGTTTAGTAAATTACTAGAATTGTATTACACAGGGGCATGTTTGGATTTCCATCTGGATGCTCTCCGGATCACCCGAATATCATGTTCTTTCGTCCTTGTTTACTAAATATTAAACAAGGATGACATGACATCCGAGGAGCAGATGCAAATCAGAACAAGCTTCAAAACGCAGAATTTCTAGATTTACCAAAACGCAAACAATCCAACAGAGAAACACGCATCGTGTGCCATAGGCTTAAGTTAAGCTGACAATGAGATTAAAACTTATAATCTACATTAATTAGTAGAGACGGTCTCGATTCTCGATACTAATGTAAGATTAACTTTAATATCGATTTAACTCTTACTCTTTTTTTCTAATTTTAAGAATTCTAAGAATTAGAAAAAGATAAAAAATAAATGAATCGAAATTAATGTTAATTTTACATTGACTGGGCCTGAGTTTGAAAAGAATAAAATCACGAAGATCTTAAAAAAAAAGAAATTGCTTAAAAAATTGTGTAAAGATAGAAAATTGTAAAATACAAGAATAGAAAAATCAAAAGGCTTAAAAAGTGAAAACTTCTGGAAACTTTATTTCTTAGCAAAAAAATTTGATTTATTTAACTTTAAAATTTTCGATATTTATAAATAGATGTGTATAAAATATGGGTCATTATCGATGTATTTAAAATTAATCATTTGGTTGCATTCAGATAACAAAGTGACATTATTTCTTATTTTGACGTCAAAATGACGTCTTCTAATCAGAAACAAGTCATCTCAACATTAAAAGGATGTTAAATTGATTCCAAAATAATTATTAAAAGTCATTTTTTAATCATTTGCAATTCATTTTAACATCATGTTGATATTATTGTGACTTGTTCGGTTTTGATGATGTTTTAATGTCAAAATAAGATGACAAATAACGTCAGCTTGAGACTTGAGTTGCTTAATGTCTAACTATTATTTATCATAAAATTGTATATTCTGATATACTAAGATATATTCTGATATATTAAGATAAATAACACGTTTATCTGTAATAAATTCGATGGAAAGATAACGATAATATTTGTTCTGTAACGTTATCTTTCGTAAATATCCGACTGATAAATCCAATTGCATCCAACTTCTAAATCATTCCAACTAGCGCAAAGTCGCGTTCTTATGCGATCTATGATTGAAAAGCAAAAACTAATTGTTTTGTATTTTAATTACGCGGAAATTTGCTGTTCGCAAACTGTCGCAATCTAAAAAAATTGTGAATTTATAGCTGTTTTTAATTCATTAATATTATCAAGAAATGTTCATTTTTATTGATAAATTGATAAAATCTTAGAAAAAATATTAATACTGCAATGTTAATTATATCTACAGTATTTACGTAAACAAGTTTAGAGTTCACACTAGAATAATAGTACTTTTGCGATAATTTTTCAACAATTTCTCCACTGTATCAAATGTGAAAAATATATAACAGACAAATTATTTATCATGAATTGCCAGTAGAATAATAATTTCGTGAAAATGCTTTGAAACATTCTATTGAGAGTCTCTTTGTATTTTCTATATACAAGCATATTATTTTTATTTAAAAGGTGGTATAGCGCTCGTTTATGTGGGCCAACCATTGGACACGGTGAAGGTAAAGATGCAAACCTTCCCATCCATGTACAAAAATATGGTGAATTGTTTTCTCCGTACGTTAAGAACAGACGGTATTGCAAGAGGTTTATACGCTGGAACAATACCTGCGGTAGTCGCTAATGTTGCCGAGAACTCGGTATTATTCGCGGCCTACGGCGGATGTCAAAAGGCGATCGCTCATTTATCAGGTAAATCATGAACTATAATGGTATAATTAATATATAAATATACATTATTTTTTAAAAAGCCAATGCTTAATTAAAGTACATTAAAATAATTTACGCATTAAAATGCTTTAATGAATAAATAATAATATGCTTTATCTTTCTTTTTTTTTTTACAGGTGTGCAGAACGTGAAAGAGCTAAGTTCCATCAGTAATGCCTGGGCCGGCTTCTTCGCTGCATTCTTTTCCTCATTGACGCTGTGCCCGACGGAGTTAATAAAATGCAAGTTACAGGCTATGAGAGAAGTCGAACAGACGCAAATGGCAACTACTACGGGAAAATGCACGGTAAATAATGTTTCATGAATCTTATTTTAGAAATTTTGATGGCAATTTTTTAGTGACATTATTATTCCTCTCAGAAACCTTGTATAGGATCATGGAGTTTGACGAGGCAAGTTTTTCGGGAACAAGGTGTAAAAGGCCTATTCACAGGCCTCTCCTCTACAATAGCTCGCGAAATGCCAGGCTATTTCTTCTTTTTCGGCGGCTACGAAGCCACGAGAGAGTTATTAGCTGCTAAGGGTCAGAATAGGGATGACATTGGCTGGCAAAAGACGATGGTGGCTGGCGCGGTTGGAGGTACGATGCTCTGGCTAGCGATATTTCCAGCCGACGTTGTTAAGAGTAGAATACAGGTATGTCTTCAAAGAACTAAAAAAATGCGTCTATTTCTAAATTTTGTTATCTCTTGTAACAAAATGTTTTGGAAACCAGGTACAGAACTTGAAAACACCCGCCTTGATAGTTTTCAAGAATATCGCACGGCAAGAAGGTATCGGCGCTTTGTATAACGGATTAACACCGACTTTAATTAGAACGATACCAGCAACTGCAACACTGTTTGTCACCGTCGAATACACGAAAAAAATTATGTACAATTATTTCTAAAATCGATTTCAACATTTCCGTTTTCTTACGTGACCTGATATTCCGACCGAATATTCTACACAAATGTGCATTTATCGTGAACTATGTATTCTAAAATTATATGTCAAGCGACTTCAGTGTCTATATCTGTAAATATAAGAGAATAATGTGTGTGTGTATATATATATATATAT